GAATGAATAAATGAATGAATAAATGAATGAATAAATGAATGAATAAATGAATGAATAAATGAATGAATAAATGAATGAATAAATGAATGAATAAATTCATTTATCTATCTATCTATCTATCTATCTATCTATCTATCTATTTTAAAAGGCAGCTCAGTTTATTGATCATTTGCAAGCCAAAAGGTTTTGCAAAAAATGTTTTGCAAAATAATAAATAAATAAATAAATAAATAAATAAATAAACCTATCATCTATCTATCGATTGATTTTAAAAGGCAGCTCAGTTTATCGATCATTTGCGAGCCCAAAAGTTCCGGATTCTGGGATTCAGCCGGTTCGCATCGGTTCGACAGAACCGGTCGCTAACTTTCCGAGGAGTTGGACGAACCGGCGGTTGGAAGAAGAAACGCCCTCTCGTTCTTCCCACCGTACAGGGTTGGGCACCGTGCGGAAGCGTGCCGGGTGGGCGCAAACGCCTTTCGCTCCCCCCCCCCAAAACCTAGGTGGCTTCACTGGATGTTCCCCCCCGCCCCCCTCCCCTTCCAGGTGGCGCATCTCCGAGCCCACGTCTTGATCCACACCGGGGAGAAGCCCTACCCGTGTGGCACCTGCGGCACCCGCTTCCGACACCTGCAGACCCTCAAAAGTCACCTCCGTATCCACACCGGGGAGAAACCGTATCATGTGAGCGGCGATAGGGGGCGCCTTCTCCCTGGAGACTCCGGGGGGAGAGGGGAACTGGGCGAGTTCTCAGTTCTCTGTGTGGTTGAATGGTGGGTGGGCTCTTCTAGGGGGAGGGGCTTAAAGGGAAGCGTGGGGAGGGGGAGGACTCGAGTGGGGCGGAGGGAGGGAGCTCAGGGTTCGGATCTGAGGAACTTGGGGTCTTCCAGTTTGGATTGCTTCTCGGAGACGTCTCGCTTGCCATAGGAGGTAGCATCATCAGGGCTCGATGAGATGAGGGAGGGGTGGTTGATTGTGGCTTTTTTATAGAGCGGGGGTTTCTCAGCCTTGGCAATTGGGTGGGTGGACTTCAAGTCCCAGAATTCCCCAGTCCTCCACCACCACCACCTCTTTCTCCTCCTCCTCCTCCTCCTCTTCACAAACCCCATTCCTTTGTAGCACTGATGATGTTACCTAGTTGGGTCATGAAACGTGTGCGAGAAAACCACCACACTCAAAGAGCACCCAGGACCACAGAGTCCTTTTCCTCCTCTTCTTCCTCTCCCTCCTCTTCCTCCTCTTCCTCCCCCTGTGCCTCCCCCACTTTCTCCTTTCTCCTCCTCTTCCTTCTCTTTCTCTTCCTCCTCTTTCTCTTCCTCCTCCTTCTCTTCCTTCTCTTTCTCCTCCCCGCCTCCCCATCACCTCCTCCTCTTTCTCTTCCTCCTCTTCCTCCTCCCCACTTCCTCCTCCCCTTTCTCTTCTTTCTCCTTCCCTTCCTCCTCCTCCTCCTTTCCTTTCTCCTCCCTTCTCTTTCTCCTCCCCTCCTCCTTCTCTTTCTCTTCCTCCTCTTTCTCCTCCCCTCCTCCCACCTCCTCCTCCCCTTTCTCTTCTTTCTACTTCCCTTCCTCCTCCTCCTCCTCCTTTCCTTTCTCCTCCTCTTCTTTCTCCCCTCCTCCTCCTTTCTCTTCTTTCTCCTTCTCTTCCTCTTCCTCCTCTTCTCTTTCTTCTCCTCCTTTCTCTTCTTTCTCCTTTCCTTCCTCCTCCTCCTCTTCTCTTTCTCCTCCTCCTCCTCCTTTCTCTTCTTTCTCCTTCCCTTCCTCCTCCTCCTCTTCTCTTTCTCCTTCTCCTCCTCCTCCTTTCTCTTCTTTCTCCTTCCCTTCCTCCTCCTCCTCTTTGCCTTCCTCCTCCTCCTCCTTCCTCCTCCTCTTCCTTCTCTTTCTCCTCCTCCTCCTTTCTCCTCCTCCTCCCCCACCTCCTCAACCCCCTTCTAGCACTGATGACGTTCCCTAGCTGGGTCATGAAATGTCTGAAAGAAAACCACCAATCTCAGAGAGCACCGAGGACCCCACAGTCCCTCTCCTCTTCCTCTTCCTCCCCTCAAACCTCCCAGGACTGATGACATTCCCTAGCTGGGCCCAGAAACGTCTCTGAGCAGAGCCCCAAGGTCCGAGAGCACCCAGGACCTCCGCCAACCAGCTCCACCGTTGCTTCCCCCCCTCCCCTCCCGGGGTGGCAATCTTTCGTAACCTCCCCCTTTCCCCTCCGCAGTGCGAGCAATGCCGTCTGTGCTTCCGCCACAAGAGCCAGCTGCGCCTCCACCTGCGGCAGAAACACGGCGCCGTCACCAACACCAAGATCCGCTACCAGGTGCTGGACGGATCGTACGCCACCGTCTGCTAAGCCGGGAGTCCCCGTCGTCACAAACCACCTTTGCCGGTTTCCGGGCCAGGAAGAGATCCAATGCTCCGTGTTTCGTGAACGGAGAACATTTCTTTTCGAACCCTCCCTTTCCCACTTTCCCCCTTTGCGATGCAAGGAGTCCTCGACTTATGACGGTTTGTTTACCACCTGAAGTTAAAAAGGCCCTAAAACGTGACTTGGGATCGCTTCTCGCACTTACACCCATGTCAAAATTCAGATGCTTGGCCACTGACTTGTATTTATGACGGTCACAACGTTCCGGGATTCCCCTTTGGTGACTTTCTGACCCAGCCAAGTCAACTGAGGAATCTGGATTCGCTTAAGGACTGGCTGATTCACTTAACAGCCGCCACGATTTGCTTAATGGCCACGAGGAAGGAGAAGGTCACCCAATTGGGCGCGATTCACTTAACGGCCAGAGGGATGGGCTTAACCGTCGCGAGAGACAGCAGATGGCAAAAATCGGGACCTCAAATTCTGGCTCCCAATTGGGGTCGTAAGTCAAGGACAACCTGAATGATTCCGGAAGGGAGGGGAGGGGCCAAAAAGATACCCGCTACCATTAGTCCCCCCCGCCCTCTAATTTGATTCTTTCCAGCTTCAACTACAATTCCCATCTTTCCCATCGCTGGTTGGTGGGGGATGATGGGAATCACAAGCCTAACGTTCCCGGGGGAGGCTGTCCTAGAATTACTCCCCCCACCCCACCATCTTTGGAGAACGAGGGGAGGGGGGCTTTGAATGGGCCCCGATTACCATGGCAACTCCGTTGCACTGTACAGTAGAAGCCACTTTACGGCGGTACAGTAGAAGCCATTTGAAGGCACAACAGGCTGTATCTTAACAGAACACACACGAGGGGTTTTAGGGGTGGGTTTGTCCAATTCACATCAAATAGCCATGCCCCCCACCCTGTAAACCACACCCCATTGGCCACAAGCCCAGGGATGCCACTCAGGAGGCTGTGAGTTCGATCCTAGGTAGAGGCAGATATTTTTCTCTCTCTGGGCAGGATGAGAATATATATCTGCCGAACAAAACTCCGCACTGGCAACAGGAGAGGCATCGGGCCACTCTGCTAGCTCCATTCAGTTGCCCAGACTCCACCCCGCAAGGGATTATGGGGTCCTTCAAAGAAGATGATACCTGGAGGATTTGGGGTAGAGGGAGGCTGATAAACCATGGTTTGTTTTAGTTTATTTCATTTTTTAAAAAATATCTCATTTATTTTCCCTCCTGTTTTTTTCCTGCATTATTTTGCTGGCTGAATAATGTTCTCTTTATTTTAATTTTTAACTTTATTTTATCCTGCTGGAGAAAGATTGCTGGGGAAAAAGGCTGCAGGGAGAAAGGAAGGAACGATGAGGTCTAGCGCCTTGAAAAGTCATCCTGTAGTAGAAGGTTTCAGGGGTCTTGATAAGACGGCAGCTTTTTATCGGTGGCTCAAAAACCGAGCAGAAAAAAAAGGGAAAGATTCCTAGCAGGAAAATCCAGGAAGTCCTCGACTTACAACAGTTTAATTTAGTGACCATTCGAAGTAACAACAGCACTGGAAAAAAAAAGAGACAATGACCGTTTCCCACACTTACGACCGGCGCGGCGTTCAAAATTTGAACCGACTCACCTTTACGACGGTCGTAATTGCCCCGAGGTCTCTCATCAGCCCCTTCTGACAAAGCCAAGTCGACGGGGAAGCCCGGTTCACTTAACGGCCGTGCGATTCACTTAAGGACCGCAGGGATTCGCTTAACCACCGTGGCAAAGTCGTAGAATCGGGTGACACTCACTGAAGTCGTCAGTCTGGTCGTAAGTCGAGGACTGCCCATGGGTTTAGAATGGGAATTGTTTTTTTTGGGGGGGGGGGCTGTGATTTATTTTTATTTTGCGAAATGGGATCTTGGCAAAAAGGTTCAAGGTTGCCGGTCAACCTTGAACCGGCCCTTAAAGGGAGACCCGGAGGATTCGAAGGTCATAAATGCGAGACACCCCTCCCAAAATGCTGGGGAGGGGGGGAGGAGGAGGAGACGGAAAGGCAGATTGGAGGGGGCCCCTAAGAAAGACCCCCCCTCTCAATTATTCAAGTCACAGAGGCTGAAATGATTGCATAGCTGGACTCATGTTAATAAAGCTAATATTATTTGAAAATATCTTTTGAGGGGTTTTGTGACGTTTTCTGTGGTGTCAGATTTTGGGGACCAACCCGGGGGGGGGGTGTCTGGGGGGGGGAGACACCCCCATGGCAAAGATGTTAGCCGAAAACATCGTGAAGGTTCTTTAGGCCGGCGTACCTTTGCCGCAAATAGGATCCCCGCTGGAAAGGCGGATTAACAGAATCAAAAGAGCTGGAAGGGACCTCAGCGGTCATCTAGTCCAACCCGCGGCTCAAGCTGGAGACCCTGTAATACATTCAGACAAGCAGTTGTCCACTCTCTTCTTAAAAACCTCCAGGCAGCATTCCCATGGTCTAAATTCGTACACTGGACAAAGGATTCATATTTACGACGGGGAGGCATGTGATCCAGTTTTACCATCTTCCGACAAGCCAATGGGGAAGCCACATTCGTTTTACGACTGCATTATTGACTTGACAGTGGATTCGCTTAACGACAGCGGCAAGAAAGGTCGCAGAATGGGGCACAACTCACTTAACAAATGTCTTCTTTAGCAACGGAAATTTGGGGATCAGTTAAAGTCCACCCAATTATGCTGGCTGGGGAATTCTGGGAGTTGAAGTCCACCCATCTTAAAGCATGCTGGCTGGGGAATTCTGGGAGTTGAAGTCCACCCAT